AGAGGATTTTCGGGAAGGTGACCGGTGAGGGATGCATCCCGGCTGCCTACAAGCAACAGTACCCAGTGTAAATACCAAGATATGCGCGAGTCTGCACCTTCATCCAAATTCCACTGGGTAATTGCTAAGAAACAGAGGAAAACCGCATCCTCAGCCAAGAAAAGCACGAAAGCCGCTGCAAGAGGGCTCGCGGCTCTCTATGCCGACACAGCTCGTGGGGGACAACTCTCCCTAAACTCTACTTTCTCCACTAAACTCGCTACATTCTCAATCCTTAACTCCATGTGGGTTCTCTGGGATTCTGCAAGGTCCGGGCTCAGTGTCCACTACTCACTTGTTGTGAGCTAGATCACTGCCCTTATTCCTACTGTTGGAATTCCACACACTCACACCCTCTCTAGCGCGTCCTAGCACCTTAGAGAAAATGGGGGAGGGGAGAACTTCTTTCTAAAAATCCGGTATGTACAGGATTATAAGAAATAATTATTTTTAGAATAATTGATGGGAAATATTGGTACCATATGGCACCTGCATACCTTATTAGGCAAAATAATAAAAAAAGGGTAATAGTAACAATAAAAGAATATCAATCAATAACTGAAATGATGGTGAAATATGAAAATATAAGAAAATACGCGATTTCTCAACGGATTTACGGAATTATGAGCCTAAATTGAAAATGTAGCCGGGGATAACTCTCACGCAGCCAATGAGCATTTTTACCAATTTATTAGACACCGTGGGAACGAGTGAGGCTGGAATTCTGGGTTGCCGCTTGAGATTCCCACGCCCGCACATACTCGTGACCTGCTGTGCCTAACTTCTCCCACACGGAACTCCGTCAAATCTCCACCGATTAGGACGTTCTTGGTATCGTCAGAATTGTACGAATTAGTACTATTTTTAGATACCAAATCCGTATCGAGTTGTCGCATGAATGGAAAGGGTTTTCTAATCGTGGAAACGGGTATCCGAGCCGGCTCTGCGCGTGGGCGATTATCCTGCCTACACTGCTGGCCCACCACTGGAGGTGGCCATCTCCCCACCTGCCATCTACATGCTCACCAAACAGTCCCCCCACTCCCTCAACATGAAAGTAAAGGTGACTGCGTTACCGTCCCTCACCACGGTCGCCGTTTCAGCGCTGTTAGACTCCGGTGTGACTGGGAACTTCGTAAGCCCAGACTTCATCCAGAAGCACAGGCTCAAGACAACCCCACTCCCCCAGCCCATCCCAGTGCGCAATGTAGATGGAATGCCAAATGAGAATGGGGCCATCACTGAAGAGCTGGAAGCCCTGTTGACGTTTGGCCAACACACCGAGCAGGCCCACTTCACCGTGGCAAACCTAGGGCAGCAGTCCCTTATCATCAGGCACTTGTGGCTGCTACACCATAACCCAGAGGTCGGCTGGGCATGGCAGAAGGTCATCATGTCCCGTTTCCCCTCCTCCTGCCGGTTGCCGCAAACAACCACTGAGCAGACCCCCGAAGTGGAGCCTGGGGACAGGATCTATGCTGCCATAATCCTGCCAGAGTGGGGGCACAACCTAAGGGCGACGACCATGCCATCCCAATGCCTAGCAGAGGAAGCCCAAGATGCGGAGGCGAAACTGCTGACACTAGAAGAGCTGGTGCCCAAACACTACAGGGACTTCTGGGATGTATTCTTGAAGGAAGCCTTTGACACGCTGCCCCCTTGGAAGCCCTGGGACCATGCAATTGATCTAACCCCAGACAGTTCTGTGAACTGTTGGGACATGGTCATTGAAATATATTTGGCCAGCGGTGGTGGAGTTGTCCGAATCATACGGTGGACCCTGCAGCAGAACCCACAATTCATCTTGCTGACAAGTTCGGATCAGAGGGATTTAACGTTTGTTACAAATGTGGGCTTAGCTTTTTGGTCTCCATGTTGCCGTGGTGGCACTGGTTGCCAGCACCGGTGTGAAATTCAGAGGTACCTTCTTTAATAAAGCTTTGGCAGTCATGTTGGCGATTGGGCCGGTTGCCTGACAGACCTTTCGATGAATATGGTCGACATCTTTCATTCCCTTGAAGCGGAACCTAACTATGTCTTGCTTATTTCACACGCCGGTGAAACGATGATGGATGTTGGTTTTAATGTTCCAGTGGTTCATATTCCTGGTTCCGAGAATACTGTCGCCAATGCCTTATCGCATCATCTTTTCAATCTAGCCCTGTGCCTTCATCCAGGACTCAGGATTTCGATTTTCAAACCCCCACAGGGCAAGTTCGGGGTGGCGCAAGAATGAACATACAAGTCAGTCCCAGGACTTTGGATGTCAGTGGGCGATTTACTTGTCCAGCTGCTTTGATGTGTCAACCAAATCGGCTTATCAATCAGAAATCCGTCTGTACCTTACCTTTTGGAACCTCCACCATTTTGGCCCCGAACCGACGCGATCAGTATGTGGATCTCCTTCATGGCAAACCAAACGGCACCTTCTGGGAAACTCATTTCTTCTCGAATGATATCTTCTTACCTTTTGGGTCTTTTTCATCTTTCTATCCATCTGTCCGAAGCGTTCGAGAACACCCCATCGCCCTTAATACACTGCGTGGCACTGAACAAACAGACGGTCAACCAAGAGTGCGGAAGTTGCCGATCAAAGACAAACACTTACTGCTTTTGGTCAATAAGCTCGGTGCTTCCAACGACTATGATGATCGTCTCTTTCTTGCCATCTGCTTCATGGCATATTGTGGATCGGTGGACTTGCAGTCCCTGACAACTCTCTTGACCTGAATTTCAAAAAACTGATACTCTGACATACGGTCCAACCTCAGGATCAAGACTCGCTTCGTTGCTTCCAATTCACATTGCCTACCTCATAGGGCCGACCATTGGTTCCATGGTAGTTCTGTCCTGATTCAATCTAGACTCGGCCTGCTCAATCCAGTCTTGATCTCCGTTCCTCCACTTCCACATCGATGGATTTCATTACCTCACTGTTCCAGGTGGCCAGTTGCGCACAAGTTCAGGTTGAATCACCATTTCTGCTTTACTCCCACTAGAGTGCTCCCTTTGTTGAACTCTGCACCACATAACTTGTACTTAAATCATCATTGTCCAAATTGTTGACATAGAATTTGCAAGACACAGTGGGGACACAGTAATGGCTAGTGCAAGAAAGCAGAGAGCATATAAAAAGGAGGAAAACAAGGTCCTGTATCAGCAGGACTTAAAGAGGGCCTGGATGGTCACACGATGTCGAGCAAATCATCGAAATGCCAAAGGATCATGCATCCACACGAGAACTGTAGAACGGAAATGAGCCCGGAGCACCAAGAAAAATCCCCAAGAGTACCTGATATGGCGACTTCAGTGGGCAAATGAGACGGATGATTCAGTCGATGATGCAAGCGAACATGCTCAACAACAGAAGACAGCGACAAAAACCACATCATTTACTGCAGAATCGCTGCACAATAGCCACGATGAGGCCACAAGCCAAAAAGATATCTCAGATTGGATGCGAGCAAAGAACATGGGGACGCATGGAAACCATAGTAGGGATACAGACAATGGTCAGAGAGATGATGCTTCAAGGGAGGTGAAGTATCACGTGACATTCGACACCGTGTCGAAGGTATATGGCAGGCGCGAAACTTGGATTCCTCGACAACTACGGATTCATTTGAAGGAGTTGACTCCATTCTTGAGACAGTAACTTGCTCAGAGCTTTCCCATGGCATCTCAGCGTGTGCGCTTCAACAACATTGGCACTGACCCTCAAACACTCAACCCTCAATCCTCATTGTGCCCTCGCTTCTCCTTGTCATTACCACCATCAACCGGCTCCAGCGCCAAACTACCCAGAACTCGATATCACGCTACTGGGGAACCATAGGTCGAATGGGAGGATCGGGCACAGCAGTACGCCCCATTTCCACTCCCATAGCTAACCCATGCCCACAGCTACTGATTTCGCTCTCGCTGTAGAATTCCATACAATGCGCGATCGACTTCGCATGAGACTCAGTCAAATGCGGGTGTGTAACTGATGTCCTTTGCATGCTGGGGTCTCTACTGGTTGGTGCTCGGTGCCATCATCAGCTTGGCGCAACTTGGGCTGGGGCGTCGTGCGACTCGTGTGCGGGCTTGGCTGGGGGTTGCTAGGCCGTGGAGGTTATGCCTTTTGTGCCTACACTCTCATGTCATATACAACGGCTCGGGTTGGTGTTGCCATGGTAGGCACCGCCCACAGGCTCGGGATGGACATCGGATGGCAACTCGATACTAAGGCCTCTTGGCCTTAGCTTGAGCTCGGTGTGCTCTGGTGCTGTGAGATCGGGTATGGTCGCGGCATCGTGCCCCTGCGCTTGGGGGACTTTAACATCAAGTACAACGTTACCGTCTAGCAACGTAGGCGCCATCTGGTGTCTCCAGTGTGAAAATTTGGGGAAAAGGGTTCGTATGTCACGGTATTGAGGACTGACAATGCGTCCGACTCAGGTAAAACGCTGAGAAATTTCAAATGACGAAGGCATCTTGCACAACCTGCATGGACCACCAAATGCAAGCTGCTCCTCCTGTACCCTATGATCCACCAGGAGAGTAACGATCACACGCCCCTACACCCATCTGTTGGGATTTATGAGGGGGAATATGACGTATTTTTCCTCTTTCCGCATGCTTGCTTCTTTAGCTAGACACTTTCCTCTTGTACTCAGCATGTAGATAGTCTATATGCAGTGTAGAATTGAGCTCAGATGGAAACGATTGTGTGGTTTCGCATGTGAGAATAAGTGCACAAGTCGCATTCGTCACTATTGCTGCCGCTGAGGCCAAATGGACCCCTACGATCTGGCCCTTCTTTCCTCCAAATTCCAAGTATGGTCTCATATCCTGAATACTTACCACCCAAGCCACGGCCCTCCCATACCACTGGCCCCTTTGATCGCTCATTTGTTATTGTTATGTCATTTCGCTGCTTATTCCTCTTGCATGTACAGTAGCCACGATGTATAAGATCCTCATATATATACAGGTGGTTTTACCCTACGATATGACAAGATAAAAGGACTATGTCATGGCTTATAGTGGGACCTTTTGACATGATTCTGGTCGCCACTCACGTAATTCCAGATAGCACCAGTTGGGTATAAAACCCATATGAGGCTGTGCACACTCTTTTTTCTCTTGGGTGCAGGAATATGGATTGGGATGGTGGAAGGGTGGGCCCGCTCTTCTGCTGTCTAGCAATCCCAGGCTCTCTAGCCTGCCCAAGAATGGCTGTACACACCTGGGGACCATTAGTTGGCTCTTGCAACCCAGCCAGCATAATTGGTAACCCTGCACCATCCCATAGTCCCCTCCTCTTCGTGACGGCATTGAGGGCCTGACACTTGCTTTTTATTTTCCATCCTCCATCCTTAAACACAACTGCTACCATCACACTCATTTTTTTGACAAACACTCCATCTATTCCACTGTCCGTATACCTTCCAACACTCTCATTTTATTCCCATCCATTCCTCCACACCCTTTGTTTAGAAAAATCTAAAAGTATACATTGATACTGCAGTTAATTTATGTTGTGGAGATATTTTGGCCAAGTAGCGTCTGAGTCATTCAACCCGAACGAAAAGCTGCAACCGGATTCAAAAAGCCTAGTCACAAGGAAGGTCAAGGCTGTGCAGCAGCCATTTCTAGTTCTGCATGGCATCAGAAAGTTCGTCAGTATGGTCGAGGGAAGCTGGAATCGGAGTTGCCCACTTAGTTGAAAGTTGACATCCCTGCACCCAAGAACGGTGGTAGGTTAAACGGAGACGATGCCTGATACAGCGGATCGAACGATGCTGAGGGCAATGTGGGTGCTGTGAGAGGCGAGATAGAAGTCGACGTCGATGACGCTGGATTCCATGTCGCAACAGTGCCATCCCAAGGGTAAGACGTGTTATAATTGCGGCATTGCAGCCCGACCTGAGTGTGATATCACAATGTCATTAGATATGCTCTCAGCTCTACACATCGTACTTATATGCATCTCTGTGTGGCGCAAATGAACAAAGGTTAAAGCATTAGGACAATGAAACTTCCCATAAAAGGGAACAATAATCATAACAACAAGGGCATCGGCATGCCACTTCAACACTTCCCTCATTCCGATGACCATACATTCCTCCAGTTCTGTTGCCAGGACGTATCAAAGTCGCATGCAGCAGCAGGGCAATGGGTGCATAGATCAGGAAGTGGTAGCAGGCGTGTTCAGTGGGGGAATGGTGATAGCATGGACAGTGATGAGCAGGGATTGGCAGAAAAATGGGTAGCGGCAGACAAGACATCATGTCTCGATCGGAAGAACAAGCGGTGTCAAAACACAGACAGACAGCCAGCAAATGCAGCTAGCATCGGCAGCCTACAGGGTAATTTTCAGAGATTACACTCAAGTCACCCAACTGGCAAGGCAGGGTGATGTTAACACTGGCAGCGCACGAGAAGCAGCTAGCAAACACAACTAGCAAGGTGGTGTTGACATCGGCAGCTAAAATCGCAAGCCCAATGGCAGGGCACAGGGTAGTTACAGAGCTTTATCCTCAAGCCCCAACATTTGATCACAAGCCCGCACGGAACAGTCCAATCATCGGCCAGGTTACAGGACACTCCGATCGGCATAAGCGGGGTGGCATAATACGTCAGCACATCATCTGCAGCGCATTTCGACTTTCCCTTCAGCAACGTCAGGTTTCTACCAACTCTTCCCTCAACACGACATTCTGGCCTTTCCTACTTCAGTAACGTCGGGTTGCTACATCAACCCTCCCCTCAACCCGACATCCATACATCTCACTTTCTCCACTGTGGTGTCAACAGGCACAGGCAACGTGGGTACAGTGACTCGACAGCGAGGGGGGAATGGCAAAAGACGGTGGAACAACCGGCAGTGACAGTGCTGACACACAGACAGCGGACAGTGGAAAGTGGACAGTGGCAACGGCAGGGGGGACTGCAGAGAATGGCACAGGCAGCGCTTTGAGCAACACAACAATACTTCCCATGCCCATGCCTATAGCGTACAGCGAGTACGGCTCACAGTGACAGTGCACAGCATACAGACAGACAGATGGATGGACGACAGCGCTATTACAGTGCATAAACAGGTCTAGATGACTAGATGACAACAGCACAGCGGTGCTTATCGTCAATGGGCCTCTTCGAACACAGGGCGATCATACAGCAAGTACGACACAGATACGAGCAGGGTGATGACCGACAGCGCCGGTGCAGTGTGCATGACGATGGGGATGTGTGGGGTTTTGCAAAGTTTCAACAGAGACTGTACGCACTCACAGCAATGTAGGCATGATACGTTGGTCGCACACAATTCACAGACATGGGGCATAGCAGTGCAGCGCAGTGCAGCAACAGTGCAAGCAGCATGTGTCAAATGGTTGCAGGCGGCGTCAGCGTGGATACACAGCACACGGAGGGGGGTGGGCAGCAACACTGGGAATGGCAGCAGTAATGTGGGGAACGGGGAACAGGGAACAGTGGTGGCAGCAACAATGGCCGCACTTTGAGCACTCGATCAGCTCATAATCTCCCTCCCTTGCTCAAAGTGCTTGTTGGTCCTCAGTGCTCAGCTTCCGAAGTGATGGAGCAGATGGAGTGCCGGTACGTCAGCAATGGCAGTGTTTGTCAATAGCACACGGAGAACATGGGGATCGGTGCCACAGTCAACCCCATACAGGCAGTGGCAGTAGTGCGCGGTCAGCATGCTGAAGTTATCGCTAACCTCAAGCACCCCAACTGCTAAGCAAACAGCCAGTGTGACTAAGCACAAGGAACAGAACACGGAAATGTCTCATCTGCGGGTTTTTACTGAACCCCCAAACAGCGCGCATCCACAGCATCGGGGGCAGTGCTTAACAACAGCGCGCAGATGGGGTAGGCAGCGGTTGCCTTATCAGGAAGGTATGGTGGGTGAGAATGCTCGCATCAGGAGGCACTCCGGACGCCATCTATGGGGGTGGTTCAGTTCTGAATGTCGCAACGGGGGGTCCTTTGTTTGCTTCGCTCATAACTCCTGAAGTAGTCAGCCGTTCGCCTCTACACTCAGTACGTAGATAGCCCTAATCTTCCTCTATCGGACAAGCGCAAAATTGTGTCTCTGCGATTCCTAGACAGCGCTCACGTCGAGGTTTACTTCTGATCATCAAAAATACACATTCTCGACGACGATCTCCCTGACTTCTTCACCAATCCCGGCGTTATAGGGCTCGTTACAATCCTGTGATCAACCCCTACAAGTTCTCTTATTAGGGAAAAGCGCCATTCGGTAGTGGTGCGTGGCAGGGTGTGCGGAAAGAGCAGGACAACTTCAGTAGCGCACAGGCAGTTGCGGCAACAGGGATGGGACATGGTTGGCAAGGAGCAGAGAGGGTAGCACACACGCAGTACTAGGTCGAATGTCAATGGAAATAGTTCAAGCATCCCAACAACAACGTCGACGGCAATGCCACATCAGCAACACATCATTGCACGGATGATCAGGCACCAGACACATTGCATTGGTCAGCGAAGTCAGCTAGCATGTATTGATGGCAGAGCATGCGTGGCAGCCACCAGTCATGGATGTGGCGACAATGACGGTCAGGTGAGCAGCAGGGCAAGGGGGGGTTCACCTCAGCGTGGCAAGGCAGCCCAAGTGCTGGGTACATCGGATCACAAGCAGCCACCCCTGCGCAGGTGGGTGTGGTGCATCATGAGGACAATTCAGGGATCGTGTAGGACGGGTGGAAGGGTCCAATTACAGGGCGGTTCCAATGGCAGGGCAGTTCCAGCAGCAGGATGGCCAACGAGTGGCAGTGGCAAACAAGCGGGAGATGGTGATGTTGGAGTGGGGTCGGTTGGCACGTAACCACAACAGCTGAACTCAGTGAACACAGAGGTCAACGGCAACACCAGGAGCAGCCACGCTTTGAGCACTTGATCAGCTTGCAATCTCCCTCCATTGCTCAAAAGGCCCGACATAACGTGCTCGGCAGCAGCAGGGCGAGGGGGATGGCGATGGCAACGACGGTATAAGCAGTGGGGGGGCATCAAATGCAGCAACAGTAACGGTGTGTCAGACGGTGGCAAAGGGGGTGGACATGGGGGGCGATGCGATAGGCACCCGGAGTCATTGTTTACTTCGTTGATAACTCCTGCAATAATGCATCACTCTCCTCCAAACTCGGCATGCAGATAAGCCCAATCCTCCTCTATCGAACGAGTCCAAGATCAAGTCTCGGCGATTCGTAGGTGGTTCAACGCTTCACCTGTCACCATACCTACGAAACAGCAAGCACCTAGCGATTGAGCTGAATTGATGACATGCTGAAAGTCCTTTGCATCAAACTCCACTGGCTCATGCTGGAATATGGTCGGGGCCCGAAGGTTGTTGGAAAGGTCCATGCTGCGCAGCAAGAACTCGGCTTTCTTCCAAGTATGATAGAAACTCCGCCCTCTTCGACATTAATTCCTCCATCCTCTCCTTGCTCAGCTTGTTGCCCTTGCGTTTCTTGTTGAAGCTTCAAGAGTGGTACGGTCGGCGTCGCGGTGTTGCAAGGGAGCTGCGGCTTCGGAAGGTTGTCTCGTCGCGATGGTTTCAGGCCTCGCAGCAGGAGGAATTTGTGATCGTGTGAGAGATGTATGATGACGATCCAACGCTATGTCGAATACTATTTCAATCATAGGTAAGCGAGATGGTCAGAAATATTCTGTGGAGTTAGGTGCAGAGTCTGGCGAAGCGCGAAGCGCAAGCACTCTAGTTCATAATGTGCCACATTGCAGTCAGAGTTGCAGTATAGCCAAAGAAGAACAACACCCATCAATGTCTACCAAATTAGTTGCACTATGAATCATCACCAAACTCACCTAGGTGGTTCTCCAGCGGGTGACAGTGCGATTCCGAGTTTGGGTGTAGTTTGGCACCAGAGTCGGATGAATGGAAAGGATAAGTGGTCTGATGAAGGTTGATGGTTTGGTGGTTGGATGAGTGCCAGAGGAGGGGGTTGGATAGAGCAGGATGGGACATATGGCAGAACTTGACACCATGTTCCAAGACCCCAACCGGGAAGCCACCGCCCTGCAGAAGCTCGCCGCTCTGCAGCAAGGTAACGACTCCGTGGATAATATCATCCAGGAGTTCGAGATCCACGGTCCCACCTCGCGGCTAGGCGACGTAGGGCTGGTAGACCGCTTCGAGATAGTGTGGGAAAGTTCTGAGGTCACATGGCATTCAACACCGTGCGGAGTAGGACCTTTCCCTTGTTTTCTGATGACTCTCTTTTCTTACACTTTGTCATATCCGTGCATACCCGACCCCGACCCGACTTCCGGACCTCCACCCTCTTCACCTCCGGAGTCATAACCTACCGCTGCCGTTCCGATACTCACCTTCGGTCCTGGCAACACACCTCCTCCTTACCTCCCCGACCCTATCTCCATCCGCTCCGATACTCATCTCGGACCAAACACCGCCCCTCTTGCCACCCTCCTACTACTCCGCTCCCCCTTCACAACACCTCCACCCTCCCGTCATCCTCCTACGCTTCCCCCGTCCACTCCGATACTCACCTTCGGACCTGACTACTCTCCTTTCCGCCACTCCTTCTCCTGTACCTTTCCCCTCTCTCCTCCCTCTGTTACTCCTCCGCCACCCTTCCGCCAAGTTACGACCTTCCACCGCTGTCCCATACTTCCTACCCGGACACCGCTCGTACCTTCGCTCCGAGCCTCCGTCATAGTCCCTACCTCGGACTTTGACTCCACCTCGGTCTTAGTCCATTGCATTGGTGACCTCATACTACGTAAACACCATTGCCAATATCCCTCGGACTTTCAACCCCGCCTCCATAACCTCCGTAAGCTCCGCAACCCCCGAGCTTTGCGGACCGCCTTCGGCACTTTCGCCGCTTGTAATGTATTTCTCGCGTTTACCCCTCATCCCTATTTGGACTACTGCTTCTTCCCATTCTAGCCAGTTAGTCATCACCCCCACTTCTCCTCATCCTCCTGCCCCTCTGGGCCTTGCCCTCCCTACCCCCTTTCGGAAGTATCACAGGTCCTACCTTATGACCTTCGGTACCGCTCCGCTTCTTCTACCCTTTGTTCCCGTTCGGACATCTTCGCTCCAATTCGGTTCCCGTTTGTTTCCTTGTGCTTTTGCCCCTTCCATTATATATATCGGCACTTGTACATACTCGTTTGGGTTCAGTCCGAAATCGACCTGAAATGCCCCCTAGAGACTTCCTGCTCACCTACTGTGAAATTAAGGACCAAATGGACAAACAGCAATGGCACAGCGCTCCGCTTGAGTCACTGAGGCCAAGGTCCCTCCACGCTAAGTCTCCGATTCCACTCCGGAGTCGTCTGTATCAGCCCCGTTCTAACACACTTAGCCTTAGTGAGAGATACCTAACCCCCCCCCCCCCCCCCTGAATTTGGATGTGTGATGTCCCACTTACAGCGTAGCAGTGAAAATATGGGGGCCATGCATGCGGAAGGATCGTGGAATATGTTATGAATCAACAAGAAAGGGAAGAGACCGTAAGCTGCGAGCTGAACAGGAGCAGTACGGCTTTGCAAGTGTCTAGCATAATTCCCTGTGTCGGATGCGGTCGTCGCATGCGACCACTCCAGGTTACAGGCATTTGGATTCACCGGCAGTCCAGCTTGGGACCATCGTCGTGTGATAGTCTAAATGGCAAGACTGTCGGCTTCGTCGCACATACTTCATGTAGGGGTATTGAGCGAGGGTAGAACGGTACGGTCCCATCGAAATGCTTGTGCCATCCTGCAGCAAGCATGTCGCGATCGACAATGTAATAACGTGTGGGTTCCGGCTCGAAATCATCTGCAAGTTGAACTTTCCACCAGAATCCACATCTTCAGCGAAACCGGACGGGGGATCATGCCGAGGTTTCTTGAATACAAGGCCAGCTGGGCCTTTCGCAACAGGATGTTGGTAATGCTTAGAACGCACCGACCAAACCATGGGGACTTTCCCCTCAACTGTTCATTGAGGGTGATTCGAGGGAATCTCTTCCTGTGCGGCAACTCAGAAGCCAGCTGTGCCAATGCACTCCTTACTTACATCTGGTTGGTATTCCTCAGATCGTCAGTGACAGGAATGGCAGTGTTGCAGTCTCTTCGAGCCAGATGAATAGAAACATGACCAGCTCAGAATCAACACAAAGAGCAAGTCGATAGAGTCATGGCGCCACTTCTTGAACTGGCGAAATCATCATCTTCATAGAGTGGATTCACAACAATGCTTGCAGGGCTGCGAGATGGGAATATGAGAACGGGGCTAGAGTTATCTGACCTTGTGGACCTTATGCTTATGGGGGTAGGAGTGGAGGGTTCAACATCAAGAGGAAGACGAGGCCTGCGAGAATGAGAATGTTTCGGCGAACTTGTCGGAGACTTTTCAGGATGTGCATGAATCCTAGTCAAGGAGCCCCGGGAGGGAGACAACGGAGTTCTGAAAGGCATGGGGCCACCTGTGGCTGAGGAGGGAGACTTTCATTAAGACAGACTTCCCACTCCCCAGGGGCTAAAGAATAGAATGCAGATCTGTTATAGGTTTGGAGCCGTAAAAACAAAGGAATCGCGGCAAAAGCGCAAACACTCCTCATATATGACTTCACAGTGGCGTCGAACAGTTCTAGTGCACAAGCTCCTCCAATATACACATAAATATATCTACACGTCATAATTCCAGGACTCTACAGGAAGTATTCTACTGCGCTGAAGCATATTGTTAATGGTCCGCACAAAGCCTGCATACTTGACTGTCCAACCCATCAAGCTTATGAACTCTTCTGCAACATCATGGAAGTGGTTGAATGCACCTCTATCCGGACTTGCTGAAAACTGGAATGTGCGGTATTTCAACACAAGGTAGATCAACGATAGTGCTGACCATACTGGAATTGTTGGAGGGAAGGCTGGCGGAACAATGAGCCTGACCTGCTGATCCATCAGCAGTAACATGCGGCCATGGACTAAAATTGAGTCACCCTCCTGTTGGTTGGACCACTTGGGCCTTTGCATTGGTGCAAGAAGGCCCGAAGCGTCAGGTCCATGGTGCCAAGATTATAAAAGTGGCGCCCCACCATTAGGACACCAGGGGTTGCATCGGAGGGTGGTGTGTAATCAGTCAATTCTTTGAAAGATCCATCACCACTTTCCAATGAGCTTCCGCATGACGACGTGTCAGTTACAGAAAGCACTGCATGTGGGGTCCCCGGTGGCAAGACGCTACACATCCCAGAGATTCTATCAGTAGGGTTGTAATTATCCCGTGCACAACAAAGGGACTCACAGAGAAATCCCAGGTGTTAGCAATATTAACTGCGTTGATGGATCACCCTCATAGGCCAAATGGAACAAATCTTCAGGGGCATCTGGCCTGTTGAAGAGCTCTGAATCCCCATTGCTCAAAACAATCCACTTGGCCCCCAAAACCACCCTCAGGACTGTGCCATAGCCCATACCATCTATATGGGGAGGGTGGCTGGTCCCACATGATGATAGGATGGACCAACCACTGGAGGGCACCAGTAGAGATTTCCCCTTCATGCAGGGGCTGGATGATGTAGAGTTGATGGCGATGTAGTCATCTGCAAGAACCCTAAAATTAGAGTCAGCTCAAGTATACAAAAAACCTAGCCTCTTGCACGCACCTGCTCACACTTCCCAAGGGTGGGCTCCTCATGCTGGGCAAAGACAACACATTGAGGATCTTCCCTCCCATCAGGTTCTCCATTTCAGAAAATGCAACTGAGATGGTAGCCGCATGAATACGCCCCTCTGGATCTGGCTCCTCAGCATCCATGTCTATATGTGTCATATGAGCCTATTGGTAGTTCCATTCAACATCCCACTCACCATGCACTTCCACATGGGTGGAGGCATCAACTTCAATTGCCTCGAGCACTGCAGGAAGCCGAAATGCCACTGCTTCCCCTGTATCATTGACAAGGAATGGGGCTCTGAGGACCTTGTGGAATTCCTCCGGCTCTGAGTCTCTAAGTCTCCGGAGCTCCCCCTTCTCCAAGGTCTGGAGGTTGGGCATAGACGATCTCCTGACAAAATGATGGAGGTCCTTGACGTAATCCTCCCCTCTTGCCACGGTGATCATGGTCATTGTGCCTAGGTTGGGCTACTGGACATGTTTACCAATATATAATGCCCATGATAACGACATCTTACCAAACCAGCAAAAGCCTTCAGCTTGAAGAACCTTTTCGGCCCAAGTTTTGACTGGGGAATCATTCAGAATCGTTATATAAGCACAAATTAGGGGGCTTACCATAGCGGTCGCTGAAACGTCCAGCTCCATAGCACCGGAAACTTGCTGCCCACTGGAAACTTGTTGTCTCCTGGGAACAGAAGGCTCATCGGGAGCTGACTCTGAGGAAGCTTCCATTATCTTGGAGGGTATGAATCCGGATCGCTTCTTGTTCTGAAACAAATATTGAATGAGTGGTTATTTGCAATTTAGTACATCGTTTCTCACCCGGGGCTGCGGTGTCCTTTTCGGTGCAGTGGCCTTCTTTGACCTTCTTCCCTTCTTTTTCTAAAATGAACGCTGAATAAGTGGCCGGTTCCAATTTAGTATATCCATTTTTACCTGTGGCTGCACTGCTTGCTTGGGTGCAATGCCCTTCCTGGGTCTTTTTCCGGGCTTGACTGAGTCATCCTCCGACTCAACATCCACTGGGGAAGTCCCTCTTGACCTCTTCCTAGACAGATTTCCCCTATCATCATCAGACAAAGAGGACAACCCACTGGATGATTGGGCGTCCTCCTGTGGGGGAATTGAGAACGAGGACTCGTGTCCTAGTTCCACCATAGTGGGTGGTGGTCCCAAGGGGCCTCCAACGGCAAGAGGCGGTGGGGACAAGGACTTGTGTTCTGGTTCCATGGTGGTGGCCGATGGTCCCAAAGACTCTTGACCAGAGCCAGAGGCAGGGGGAAGTAGGGAGAGGGGCTGGTGTCCTGGTTCCACCATAGCTGGTGATGGTTCCAAGGACTGGGGTGGTGCGGATGGAAGAGATCCAGCAGACAGTGGGCCCTTCCTGGGAGTCAGGTATGGCAGGGAGGTGTGAGGAAGCGGAGTGAGCCTTACAAGGCCAGGTACATCCAGGAGTTCCAGGTTGGGTTGTCCAGAAGTGCTTGGCATTGACTGTTGTTGAGAAGTACCTGGCCTTTGCTGTTGACGTTTGGGCCTTTGGGGTACTTCTGGTGCAGAGGTTTTGGCTGCAATATCCTGGGCAGTGGAAATCCTATCGCAAAACATCGAGGTGACTCTTTGTTTTGCTGAAATACACCAAGGCTGATACAATCTCCTCCTCCAGCCGCTTCATCCCAACATCTGTCTTCCCAGTGAAAACAATGCCAGGCACGTTTGCCTGCAAGGATGCAATTAGACACTAGCATAAGCACATAATCAGCCCACTTACCACTATAACACTGTTTGGGGCCGTTTTGTCGATACTATGATTGGGAGAGAAGATCAGTGTTGGTGATATAGCCAACAAGATAAGGAGGGGGTCGTTGAGATGTTGCTGCCCTTGACACTGGGCTATCAGTGTCTGAGCGCGGTGCTGCTCATCGGTCTAGTATGGAGAAGTGGAATTCAGCCCCCTTGGCCAATAGAATGATTGTGGGCTTACAAATCCAGCGAAAAATCTAATCATAGTGGCGACCCTTGCGATTCGAACCAACGGTTTATGCTGTGATTGATCAATCCGGGCAGCCCTTCTCAGTTCCCCCTCCCATGTTAGAGGGGAGTTAGGCTCCGACCCTTCTTGAGCAGTGCTGGTGAGAACAGTGTTCCATTTGGCCGTGCTTATCCCATGGCCTTTCTTCCCCCATCCCCTGAATCCACTCGCACTTCTAGCCAGTTTAATGGGGAGAGGGTAATTCCCACTTTTTGAAGAACTGTCGTAACTGGGATCAACAGCCCAGCAGCGATCACTGCTGCTGGGTTGATGAGTGGCTAGGAGGTAGTCCAAAAGCAGGACCCCAGTTATCATGAATTTTGTCAGATTGCAAGCATCATCCCCCTGCCCAAAGACAGACCCATGTGGGGAAAGGAAAAATGTATTGAGCACAAAGCCACTTCCAAGAATCCTTACTTCTTTTCTGTATGTGGCCTGGAAATATTCCTCCCATAACGAAACAAAACGAACCACACCCTGGGCTATGTTCTTCTCGAACACATTTTCGAGACCCATAGTTTGGTAAATGTGTTCCACGGACAGGGAGAGAGCCACTGCATCCCTTGGTTTTGAGGCAAGGGTCTGACTTCTCCAATACACTTTTGCGTTGTCCAGAAGTCTTTGGAAGGGATAAGCCAGGGGACTGTCGTCGGATGAAGAGGAGGTGAAAGAAGTGGATGCCATGGAAGATGTCTGAATGGTCTATGAGTGCAGGAATAAGCTCTGGTGTTGGCCCTGAAAAAGTAGACACGCTTGCCTCGATGGGAATAAGGTTGTACAGTAGCCAAAATAGGTCGTCGGGCAGGCACGTGCCCCCCCAACTGTATGGACTTTGTCATGTGTGCAAGGCTTTTTTTAACAACGCTGCCCAACAGCCAAAGAAAATATCAAAATTAGTGGTTACTTTGTGTAAACTCAGTCTCGATAGGGAGAATTGAGGGAGGGGAAAAATTACGTGTCCAGCGTAACTTATACCACTGGCGCCAATATCGCTTGACTGGTGCCAATATTGCTTGATGTAAGAAAAAATTTGAGAGCGCATGGCATCATGACTCTGAAACAAAATGGGTATAACCGTTGTTAGCCACGATGATATCAAAGGTTATCTCATAACTCCCCAACCCTCGCTTGGCTGTTGTCGATGAACGTCGATATTCCAACAGAAAAAATGTTGGTCGATGTAGCATAACTACCTTACACAGTGGTGCCGCTCAATTTATTCCTATTGCCCATTTGTATTGTCACAGGCCTGTGACAGAAATTTCTGTCACATTGTTATCTACAGCGGGTGCCGGAGACATCCGAAAAAACAATGGCACCTGGAAACCAGACTGTGTAACATCCTGCTTGTGTGAGCGTAGGGTGTGTCTTGCAATGTAAAGATTCTTTATAAGGCAATCCATTACTTCAGCGGCTACACTCACGAGACCAGAGGTATGCTTAGAGCAACTCATGTCCATACTCATCTATACACGAAATGTATTACAACGATAATATATATTGTAACAGGGAAATTGTCCCTAGGCCTAGGATCACAGGGGGGATAGTGGTTTCAGAAGGCCACACTTGATCTCACTAAAATAGATCCTTAGAGTATGGTAGTGCATGTGTTTATCCCTAGCTCTGTATTGCAGTCCCTTTCAATCTCCCAAAGGAAAACAGTCCAAATTATGAACAGAAAACAAAAGAAAATAGACCATAAAAGAAAAGAGAGTCATCAGAAAAGTCCCACTCTGCACAGTGTTGAATGCCATGTGACCTCAAAACCTTTCCCACACAATCTCACTGTGCGCACCCCATCCTGCTCAACCCCGAGGATCACTATGATACCACCCAGACTACCCACACACTATGTATAGAAAGTCCCCTCATGTATGTCACGGTGTACCGATGGGACAGCTGCACTGCCACGTCATCACGAAGCCATGGGGTATTAAGATAGATTTATAAAAAAAAATTAATTCACTTTTTTGATAATTCAATGTGCATTGGAAAGTGCCAAAGTGGGGCAATGTAGCAATGTATGTTTCAGTGTTAGAAAAGTCTCCCACCATGTTTTGGTGAGTGTCAGGGCACAGCCCCTCACTATTCCACAATCCCGCATGCATGCAGACCCATGGGAAAGTTCTGGGCAAGTTACTCACCCAGAAACCATCACAGCCACAACTGTGGGAACTTTCTGGGTGAGCAGCTCATTCCCACGGGGGGGGTGCCATTTATGGAAAGTCAACAAAGAGCTGAAAACTGTATAGTTCCTGGCTCCCATTTGTGGAGGAGGTTGAGAAGGTTTAGCCCCCTCAGTGAGTTTGAGGATCTCGGACTGGGACTAGATACCCCAGTGACTAGGAGGATCCCCCTGGGCCCATAACAGAACAAGGGCTGGGCCCTGACAGTGAGCCAAATAACCATGGCTTTTTGACCATAGGAAATTTGGTGTCAAAGGCTTGGATGATATCTGAAGAATACATCAGCTTTTTGTTTGCTTTATTGGGTGGTATTTTCAATTTACTTCATTTGGAACACTTTGTTAAAACTGATTTATACCCTACATAACATGCATGGTTACATTGCCACACTTTGGTGCTTTCCAATTCACATAGAATCATCAAAATTGGTTGAGTTTTGAGCAAGAAATGAGATGAAAGATAAAGTGCAAATTTTCGAATTTCAGAGTTTTCCTCATATTTTGTAAATAGCAATAAACAAATAAGGTGCTGATTTTAGTAAACACAAAAGGTATATGAGCTCTATGAGCCCACTGAGTTCATAGAGTTCATAGAGCTCATAGAGCTTTCAGAGCAATGACAATGGCCATTTTACACACATATATATCCATATTATCTTTGCACTACTGGTGCAAAAATAACTAAGCAGATTTCATGGAGATATGAAGACCATCCATGATTTAAAAACAAAAAGCTCTATGAGCTCTATGAGCTCAGTGAGCTCATAGAGCTCATAGAGTGTTTCAAGATGCTGGCCATTTAATATGCATTTCCAAAAATGTATATACATATTATCTTTGCACTTCTGCATCCTTAGGAGAATAAAATCATTCAAACATTTAATTTTCTCCACCCAATGTGTAGAGGGTGCACAGCAAAAAGACTCAATTTGCTCACAGAGCTCTGAGAGCTCTGAGAGCTCCAAGAGCTCCCTACCAAGTTTGCTGATGGGGTTGGACGCCAGTCATGATGGAGGCTAAGCAGGCGCTGACCATGTCACCACATGAGTTCCAGGCCAATCTTGATGGTGGTACTCCAATCATCCTAATGGGCCAGCCAGACCCCATAGAGTTCGACATTCCGATGCTCTTTGGCCTCTTGAATTTTCAGTCTGAGGTTGAGTTTATGGGTGAGTGTATGTCGTTTCACTACTTCCTGTCCATCAACCTCGTTCTAGACTCCAACGATCCCCCATCGACTGGAATAGCACTAGATATGCGTGCAGGCGATGCTATCTGTGAAATGTATCATTGGGAGACATCGAGGCCATTGATCATTACCCATGCCCCAGATGCCGCCAGCTTCTATCAGCCAATAGAGAGGTATTGTGTTTGTTCTTTTATCTATATTATATTTGCTTACACCTTTACAGGCTCTTGAATACTCATGTTGCAGCACTGGCAGATTTCCCTCTAAGAGACATCCCTGTTCATGTCCGAAATTGGCGAGGGCCGGTGATCTCAGCCATCGGCTCCATCCATCCTCCCATTCAGGCTCCAAACGGTGTTGGCATGAGCCTTTATTGTGCCACTGGGCATGTCGTCTTCTTCATCCCCCGTTTACGAGATGACCAGCACATCATCTTCAATTTCGATGACGTTGATTTGCCCTTGGCTCTTGGCTTCGAGTACCTCTATGAAGCCCCATTTCGCTTCTCTTCCTTTGTCGTTTCCCCCGGTCAAACGGTGTGAGTGGCTTTTATTGTCGTTTGAACATCCGTTTAACATAGCTATCTAGCATCTTTCCCCCAGGGCAGATTTATGCCTACGCGACACTTGCCGTAGAGGGCCAGGTTAGCCCCTGGTGTGTCATGCAGAGTTCATATTTTCTTGCCGCTGGGTGCATGAAGCGATCGTTTTTCGCAAGCTGGCTGGATCGGAGCTCCTCGGACCAATCGACAAGCGAGGACTCTACGGTCGCTGTGTGTTTGATGGCTATGGTGTGGAAAGCTGCCCATGCGCTGTCAAGTGGTGAAGAGCCTCTTCATTTACCTTCCATTATCAACCTATTCTCACTGGGCACCATGGCCTTGATGTTCATCGGGAAATATAGGCCACAGATACGCGAAATGGCTAAAGGGTTGTGCCATTATTGTGCAACCAAGCAGCCTCTTGACTGCTCTCTACTCCTGGATCAGTTCAACGATCTCAGAATCGCCAATCGTGCCTATGAACTGCATGACCTTGATCCTGATGTTCGCAAGGACTATGTGTCCAAAGCAGATCTCCTCCGTCAAGATATGATGCAAGCTGTGCAGCATATCCCAGCCTTGTAACATTGTAACATGTTACTACTATCCATGTACTCCAAAACCATGTTTTTTGCAGCAAATTAACACGGGACAGCTAAATGATACTAGTAAAGATATGAGATAAGTCAACGAATGAGCATGAGCATAGTAAAAGGTATATCGACCTCAGTCTCGCGAGTGTAAACATCGAGCTTTTAAGCGTCCATTACTAGAATGTAACAGGGGTAAACGTCAAGCGACCAACAGGTCGGAAAAAAGAAGATAAATGCTAAATAAACATGAAGTGATAAGAACCGACAAGATATAAACCTAACATCGATCAGATGTCTCACCGACATAATGTAAGTCGATCCTTGCGCTAAAGCACCGAGTCAACCGTTGCTGTCTCACAACACGAAGGTTCAAAGTCTGGCAGCGGCAGCACACGTGTATAACATTCGCATGGTCGACAATCTCAAGACTCAAGGGGAGATTCTAGCATCGCCATGAAGAAAGATTCATTCTTTTGCTTGTGCATGCAGGCAAGGATGCGAAGCACGAAACAAAGGAAAGGTCCCACTCCACACGGTGTCGAATGCCATGTGACCTCAGAACTTTCTCATCGCGCCATCCAACCTCCCTCCTCTGACACCATCATGGTCATCTTTTGCAGAGGCGCCGACTCGTGTGTGGGCTCAGAATAGTCATCAGAAGCAGGAACTTGAAGCTCTTGCTGGCCTCGGCCCTTGCGCATACTCGGGCCTCAGCGCTTTCTGTTGGATGAACAAGCCATGACGACGCTCCGGTACGTACATCATGCTGATATCGGTTACCTTTTCACCATGTGCTCTATGTTTCACTGTTGCATACGTTCCACATGTAGCGCTTATGCGCATCTTATTCCTTTATTTCCTCAACATGTCGAAAGCATAAAGAAAATGGTTTTATAAGAAGTGTTTCTCGAGAGATGGTTTACATTGGCAGCGTTACTCTCAGAGTCATACTAATAGATGTGACTGCGTGTTCAAGTCGGAAGAGCACCATGCACGATATCCTGTTGTCATGAGTCACACAACCCCTGCTATTAATTATTATATGGAATTGTACCGATTCTATCCTTCACAACAGGGCACCCCTCACAGAACAACTAGCTCGTCGTCTGTGTCACTCAAAATGACTAGCTCCTCTTCCGTGTCAGTCAGAATAACCAGTTTAGAGTCACGCCCAACACTCTGCACTTCACGCATCCGTCCATCCTCTTCACTTTCCTCTTCCTCTTTCACCACCGCTTGACGCTCTCTGTCTCTGGCACTTCTTGGTCCACGAAGCCATTGGATCTGGCTGAGTCTGAACTCTGGGTTGAGAAGTACAATGGGAGCAGTGAGGTTGGGATCTGCACCCCTTGGGAACATCTCGCCTTCCATCCGCTTGCGGGTATTCCAAAGGCGATCGGATGCTGCCATCGGAAGCCAGACTGCCCTTGAAAAACGCTTGAAGATCTGCTTTCGGACCAGTTGCACGTCTCTCTCAGTGATGTCCTGGTTCTCCTTGAAACTGCCCCACTCGTTCCAATAAGCCAGGTGGGTCCAGGACTTGCCACCAGGAGGTGCTTGCACTCCTTTTGGGAGGAAGAAGAGCCCCAAATTCTTAACCCAGTCATACTGGTCAACGCGCTTCACCTTGCAATGCATAAAGGCATGTGCGAGATTGAAGTCCTCGAAGATGTCCATCGTGGCTGACCTCCGCTCTGAGTCGTTGAGGCGAATGTGAGCACCCCGCCCACCTTTTACCCCTGGGGATTTTATAAAGACATCAACTGGGAATGTTCGCCAAATATCTTTGAGCATTTGTTGAATATCTCGGCCGCCTTGGGAAACCTGTTGTTGGAATGGGAGGTCATCCCCGTCATCGTGGCCCATCCTCAATGTTGTTCTGTGGAGTCTACTGAGATTGAAGGGGACCTCCTCTGCTCCTTCAGGCGCCTCATCAACCAACATCGTTGGCCTGTTGGAGCGTACCACATGGTCTGGGTGGGAGGTGCGAATGAGTTGCAGGTTGGAGACCTTTTGCTTCAGCGTGTAAAGGTCATACTTGAGCAGTACAGGCCAGCATTCACGTGGGAGCCAACGCCATTGTGACACTTCGAATCGGGGGCAGTCTGTGTGTGGGTGGAGAACCAGCCTCCGAGTCATGAACACCCCAAATGGCACGTAGGAAAAATGCACAAGTCCTTGGCGACCTTGCTCCTGCTCTTCATCCTCATCTCATCCTCATCCTCATCCTCATCCTCATCCTCATCTTCTTCGTCACTGTCATCATCCTCGTCGTCATTGTCATCTTCTCGCTGCTGCTGCCGTCGTTGAGGCTGTCGTCGCTGTGGCTGCCGTCGTTGTGACTGCTGTTCTGTGTCCCAATAGTGCATGTCTGTACGAGGTCTATTGAAGTTTGGTGGGAGGATGATTGGCTTCCCAGTGAAGACGTTTTCTTCAGCATCCAAAGTGTGTGGGAGGGCATAGTCTCCAAGTTGTCTGAATGCTTGACCTTCACGTGGACGACTGTTAAGCGAGTTCATCATCCAAAGTATTGTTGCCCGTAAGGCAAGGGCTTCTTCCCTGGTCGCGTTGTTGCCTGAACTGTTCTGTTGCCATCGGATGACAGTCCACAGTGCTAATAAACGGACGCGCTTGAATTCCCTAGAAATGGTGGCCAATTCACCTCCACTGGTCTGCAAGAGCAATAACACTCACCATATCACTTTGGGAGGAATGACTAACGCTGCACGGAACAGTATGTTAGAGGAGATCGACGTCAGCACCACATGTGCCTTGGTGATCTGCACTCGTGCTTCATATCGGGCAGCACCAGTGTAGCGTTCCTCATATGCCTCGAAGTACGTATTGTACATCCCCTGGAACCAAGAATCTCGCCCTGTGAGGACGACGGCATCTGCCTCTGCAGAGTTGGTGACTCCCTTGCGAGAGAGTCTGTAGGTCAGTGCCTTGTCTGTGTGATAGACGTTGAGGTACTGAGCCCCATTTTGGTTTTGCCTGACAGGCGCCTGAAGATGTCTCTGTCAGTGGGACCAGGGAAATATTTGGCCAACATACCTCATATCGGAAGCCAGAAATCTCAGTGAGCTGGGCTACGAGGTCACGCTTGTAATTCTTGTGCAAGGGTCTAGTATGTGCACGCAAAATGGCCTCATTCCAGGTGGGGAACATCTCTTGTAGGATTAGGTGATGGGCATCCGTACGCCAGAAGACTGAATTGTCTGTTGTAGACACTTCCAATCCAACGTCGACATAGCAGGCATTGAACCTGTCATTTGTCGCCATCATCTCATCCAAATCTAGACCATCAGCCATTTTGCGCAATTCCACTTCCGACCGCACCTCGAATTCCTCCGCTGGCTCTGAAGGCGCTTTGGCAGCGTGGCGACATGCATCCTTGTGACCACGCACATCAGTGAGAAAGAAGGCGCGCCGTCCCCAGGGATATGTGCCAAGGAGACGCATGATTTCATCACCAAAGAGTGCAGCATCATCGGAAGCGACCAGTACGGATCCAAACGAAAGCCCTCCACCAGAATGTGAGCATCGAAACATTTCGGTGCGGTAAGATGGGGGCCATGAACTCTTTGTCGTTGGCTGTACCGTGAGCGCTGCCGGTTTGATGACTTGCTGATATAGCGTGGCCATCTGTTCCTGTGTAAGTTGGGGGCCATCATGTTCCTCGGAGCTTAGACCAGGGAGGAAGAGGCTAATGGTGATGCGTTCGCCAATGGATGCCAAGCCGACGTTGGGGATCTTGTGTAATTTTGCCTGGGAAGCGTAGTTTTAGTCTAGGTAAATGTGTTCTAGAGGCAACTGCTTACTGTTGTACCTGGATGGAAAGAATACTGGAGATGGAGGGGCCGCCTGATAGTGTGTTTGAATTGAGGGATGGGATAGACGCTCAGTGCTCTTCTGATGTGCCCGAGTGTCCGTGAGATGTATATGAGGGAGTCAAAATCCCTTGTCAGTGTGAACTCTGTGTTATCGGGGGGCACATATGCCAGAACATCAACATAGGCTTGTATGGCAAGGTCCGGGTGTCTGCCAGATGTTGCAAACTCAACCACTCTTGCATCTGAATCATCCTCATTGTCCCCTTCACGTGGCTTCAAAAGAGACCGACATTCCCGAGTGAACTCTTGGAGTGTATAGAACTGAAAATCCAGGAGTTCGTTTGCATGATCACGTGGGGGCATTCTTTGTTGATCCGTGAGAGCGGGGCTGTTGGAGGGGATTGAAGGGAGAGTTGACAACCCATCCTTATATATGTGTCATGATGTAAGCCAATCTGCCCCGCATGCTGGTTCCTCAACGTGAGGATACCCTATTATACATCTGTACAGCCACACAACTCAAATGTGATATGTATTGACTCTGTGGAATCACATGTCAGTGTTCACACGGTTGCGGAGTTGCCCCAAGCATTGCCTTATTTTCCTATCGACACGGTACTGCCAGCACAAGGTCTGTTCCTCCAAGTGTGGCATTGCCATCGCTCATGTCACTGTTTGTTCCTCGACATGAGCAACAGCCACTGTCTGTGTATGTGTGGCTGTACAGTGTTGCAATAGGCTTTCCTCACGTTGAGGAATGAATAGTGCAATCATGAGGAATGAGGAATACCACACCAGAGGAACAGACCGCTGTTTAGTTACGACCTCAGCTGTATTGTGGGAGTTGTCCGAGTTTTATTGTCATATATTGTCATATTGGTTCCTCTGGAACCACCTCCATCCTGTCATGACATGTGCGGCAACATGACACGTAATTTCAGTGGATATGAATCATTCCTGAGTGTGACGACGTTGCTAAAGAAGACCTTGCTAACAATGACCATGGCATCTGGCCAAAATCAGATCTCAGGGTTTTCATCCAGATGCCGGCAGTCCGCGGCAGTGTCCTCATGCTGTGATGAAAAATGCCGTAAGGATTTTGATATGTCTATGTCCAAACTCCCCCCTACACGTAAACTACCAAAAACGAACTACCTAATCCACCAAGGTAGTCCTACGATGCCTCGGCTTCCAATTGTAGGCATAATACCCATATTTTGGGGACTTGGGGCGAACTTTGATGTGGACCAACATCTTCGTCTCCCTTTCATTGGTGCAATCTGGAGGCAGGCCACTCAGCTCCAGTTGGGACTCTTCCCTGACAGTGCTGCGCTCATCCCGGAATACATTGGCTGGACTCACTCTGAGATGCAATCTGTGCAGCGGCTCTTTGAGGTTGCAGGCAACAAGTCTGCTGATCAAGTCGGAATCCTCTTCACATCTCGAACGCACCCAGAACTGGCACCTGCGAAGAAACTCTGGAAGGATGCTTGGAAGAAAATCTGGAAACGGCTAGATGGTTATAACCTCATCGTTCAGCTCCTACATCGGAATGCCTGCCACCCTCACCAAATAATGACGCGGGAGGGTCAGGTCAAGTTCCCATCGAAACCTGTCAGCCTTGGCAACCTGCACCAGGACATTGCAAACGAAGTTTTCGGCCCTGAAATTTCTACAATCGACAGGAACGATGGCGAAATGATGATCTCCATGGATGTGATGGATGTAATCGACAAAATGGTTAGTATCGTCTGGCACAATCTCCAGGTCCAGACGTCCCGCACTCAAAAGGAAGCTGGAGAATTGCATGTGGAAATTCTTCGCAAGTATGATGGTATGTTGGAGGACCTCATTTCTACATCGTCACAGTGACACAACAAACACAGAAATTCGAGCATGCCTGGATGGTAATACGCCAGACAAACTCAATATGCCGAAGATTCGTAGTTTCATTCGTTCATACTTGACATGGCGGGAGAAGGCCAGACTATTCATCGACAAACATCGGAGAAAGGAAATCACGGAGATGGAGACCTACATGGAATGGCTTCTGCATCACATGCATGTCGAGGGTGCAGAGAACAAGCTTGTGGGGAACAAGAGTGTGTGACCCTTAGTAATGTTTCGTCTCATACTCACCGACGATTTGTAGTGGTGGTTGCAGTTACTGCAACCACCTTGTATGTCCTGCAGAATCTTGCCAATGACGAGCAACGTATGGATCTCGAGCGCTACCTTGTCGAGCTGTGGGATCAGGATGTGTACAGCTTGGGACCCGAAGACCTCAGAGAGGTGCAACTGACCAATTGCCTTCCCTCTGGTGGTCAACAATCATGGGGCATCGAAGACCTGGGCATCGAAGCTGCAAGAGGCTTTTCATTGGAGCAGCTCAAGGAAAAGCTTGGCCTCAATCTTGGCCACATACAATCTCAGCAGCTTGGTTTCCTGAACACGGAATACGATGTTTCGCAAATCTACTCTCCCTGGGATCGTGAAACCTGGAAGGACTATCGCCAGAGTGGAAACATCCAGCCTCTCCATCTTCAGGAGCAGCAATTAGATGGGCTCCACAGCATATACTCCATGCTTTTCCGGCCCCGACCCTCCCCAAAAACGGGCATCCTCATTGCTGACACTATGGGCATTGGGAAGACTGCATAAGCAGTGGTGTTGATTTGGTCATCTTGGGACTATGACTAAGAAGTTTTCTTCCAGGCAAGCACTCGGATTCATTTCCATGGTTATGTCGCGAATCGCAGCACAGAAACATCACAACATGAATCTCCCTGATAGATCGATCTATGGTGAGCGGCGACCACTCCAATACCTCAAGGGGAACATACCCTGATACATTTTCACCATAGCTGAGCGCCCCTTCCCAGTTGGGTCAAAGGATTCCAACGTACACTGTGGTCCACATGTGGTAATCTCTTCGGTGTCCCTGATGGAGAACTGGATGTGGGAGATTCGAACCTGGTTTGCACCTCAAACTGTGGATGTGTTTCTGTACTCATCCAAGTCAGCCAATGGCCCCTGGAACGCCTCACAGTTGCCACTGGAACAACGGATTGTTGTGGTTTCTGATTCAGTAAGATCTTGACACGTCTGAATTTCAGATACTCACCATCCTATGCTGCCAGCTGTGCAAGAAAGAATTTTTGCATTTTTTCAACAAGCCCTCATCCCCTTCCCATCCTGGAATGAAGAGCCAACCGGTATGGGAATGTCCACGCCGCCGCAATCCAAATCAGTCCACAGATGGGAGCATATTCTGTCTCAGGCCCTGCACCTTCATCGCAGATGAGGTGCATGTGTTTCGCAAAAATCTGGCAGAGTTGATACCCATGCGTGAACGCTCACAATTTGTCATCGGGATGTCTGGCACACCGCTCATCACAGAGCCCCAGGTAATCACGTCCCATTCCTCAGAGTGACATTGTGTCTAACCAAGTACAGGATTTGTTGAACCTTGGACTTTTACTCGGTATCCCCACCTTCATGGACCTTGCCATCACCTCCAAACAGTGGGACACTCAGAGGAGCGTTGCATCTATGCAAAGAGCTTTAAGCAAGAGGTGCAAGGCAGACTTGGAGAAGGTGATGGAAACGGGAGATTTCAGCACCATCAACTCCGATGACGCTGCCATTGGTTACCATGCCCTAATCCATGAGTCCATCATAGACTTCAAGAAACACTTCAAAGGGGTGATTCTGCATTGTTGTCTGGAGTCCAAGCGTCACGATGGGACTCTTCTTGTTGCATTGCCACCTCTCATCCAGATCCAGGTGTGGGTGAAGTTGGGTTCAGCACATGAGAATGCGCTGTCAGGCATAACGAAGGCAGCAGTGGACAAGTCAGTATTCTCTTTCAGCACTCGATACAGGTATTCACCCTGCCACCTTCAGTGGCACCATGGGACCAAAAGAATATGACGTAAGTGATGTTAGTTGTTCCAGTGGAGTGTACTACTGGCTGACGACACAAATCAGAGATTTCTCATCAGGGGTAGGAAGGGGACAGATCACTGTGTGTCCTGTTCTCGCGGCATGTCAGCACCAATTTTTGGGTCCCTGGAAGACTACGAACAGAACGGTGGGTTGGAGCACTGTGCCAAGTGGGAAACTGCACTGCAGATCATCAAGCACGACTGCCTTCGTGATGACATCCCCCCCTGCACCATGAACGAGGCTGGGGAGATCCAGATTCCTGCACTTTCTCCTGGTGCAACTGTGAAGCCTACCCAGAATCGGAAGATCGCTGTGTTTATGGAGTTCAAATCCAATGCCCCAGCCTTTGCCTCCGCCATCCATGTCAAACTCAACATCGGTGCCCTCGTTCTGGATGGGGACAAGGATGCATCGGTCCGGTTGCCTATCATTGACAAGTGGAAGCATGGCGAGGTCGTGAATGGGCTGCACATTAGGGTCCTGATCTTTACCAACGTTCTGAAGGCTGGTGTGAATCTGAGCGCTGCTGATCGATTGATTCTTATGGTGAGTCCCTCTCAGCGCATCAACATGTCATCCTTTTGCTTGACATTCACCTACCACTAGAATTCCCAATGGAGCCAGCAAGATACAGATCAGATCATTGCTAGAGTCCACAGGCAACCCCAGAAATCACCCGTCCATTCCTACCCTATGTGCACGGTGAACTCTGCTGATGCGTTCATGCTGAATACATCCAAGCATAAGGCACTCCAGCTTCAGCTTTTCACTAACCAGGCGGACAGAGAAGGTAAAGTCCTTTTTTGATCGTCCATCAGATTCTGAGACATACATACAGAACTGGAGGCAATAATTATAACTGGAAGCGCCCAAGCAGCCATGGATAGTGTGGAAGAGGGCACAGAAGAGTCGGTGGCTTCAACCTCCAAGAGGGGAAAGGGATCCTCTGATGCAACCAACACCAAGGGCAAGAGGTTGCGGGCAGATAAAGCGAGCACACCGGCCAGCTCTGATGCTAGCAGCTACAAGTTGCATCCAGCAAAAGCCAGAATTCCCCCCAGCGATGCAGATGACAAGGACAGTACGTAATTTAATTTGACCTTGGGAGAGATACGCATTGATGGATTCATATCCAACAGGCACCTCACAGGCAGATAACATGGGGAGCCAAAGTTGGAGTGGTAAGACTGCGCCTCTGCATCACCCCTCACGACTGGCATGCTGATTTAGAGTGTAGAGAACCAATCAGGCCGGATGGAGCCAACTGGTGACATGGGTGGTTCAGAGGGTTCAGATTTGGACGAGTTGCGACTGGGAGGCAAATACAGCAGTGGTCAGTGCAAGGGCAAATGATCACTGCATGTTGTCTAACGTGATTTTCCTTTTTTTAGGATCCAGAGGGTTGGGCATTGGCTCAAGGAGTGTGGGTCCTTCTGCCTCAGCCACTGCCCCAAGCCATGTTGCATCCACTCTTGGTCACGCTGTGCAAGGCCCAGCGATATCTACACCCAATCGCACCACTCAAGTGCCATCTACAACTCAGGGTACATTCATTGTACCAACTTCCTCAGTCTCATCTCGTCCTCGTCCTCGGCCACGTGTAACTGGGTTAGTGGTCACCAGGGACGCAGCCAGAGAAGCCACCAGGGAGGTCATCAGGGAAGCTAGTCCTCCAGAACTGCCTCGTTTCCTACCGCACACAAAGAGAGGCTGGGGGGGAAGGTTGTAGGCATGGAATAACACTGCCAACTGACCGATGGACTATTGGGGAAATAACTATACAATTTCCACAGAGTGTGTTAGAATTAAAAAAAAAAAAGTTTACAACGTCACCCAAATTCTAAAATCATAGCTGCTCATCGTCGAGAGCGATGGACTCATAATAGAGGGAAAAAAGTTACCTAGGAATGTCAAGTTTCAGGGCAATTGGCCCAGCGGTTGTGGAGAGGTGATGATATTTGCCTTACCACGATGATTCTGCATGGTGTCAAATGCCACATGAGCCTGCCGGTAGTGAGAAATGCCGGCCTTCAGGAGATTGCGAAGCCAGTGTGACAAAGTTTTGTGTCACAAGATTCTGATGCGGTCCTCTTTGGTCCTAACCGTCCCAGTCTCATGTTCTTTTTCGTGATCACACATGTGATGGTGGTCCAATCTTCCTCGCCTTCCAGTTACCCATTCCACTGACTAATCTGCTTGCTGAGGAAGCGATCCGCTCTCCTTCGCCTACCAACAATGCCCACCTGGCAGCCAGTCTGCAAGCATCAACCGTTCTTCGCCAGCCAGATGCAATGAAGATCCCAGTTAATGTCAACCTGCGAGCGCAAGGAATTTTGACCTCGAAAGGGGAGAAATGTAAGGCAATAGTGGAGACCTCCTTTGGAGCATGAGCAGGGATGAGTGACGTTCATCTATTTGTGGGGCTATACATGTTCACCATTTAGGGAGATGATGCCGCAAATGAGATCAGGATTGGGGGGGTTCTTTGGATGCAGGTTCCATGCAGTGGTTTTTGTATCTTTGGCTTCACGTGCGGTGCTTGCCAATCCACTCTGAAAAGCCATTCATTGTTCATGGAAATGAAGCGATCTCGACTTGGTCTTTCCCACAGAAATCAACTCGGATCTGTACTGGCCTGCAGTGTATTTGATTAAAATCGGAGTCGGAGGTCACACCAATCATGTTGCAGGAGTCCCTGGCTGGTAACCTGGAACTTAGATAGCTTCTGGATCTAACCACTGAAGTGGTCCATTCACGAAAACACTGTGCTCGAGCGCTGCAGATTCATGTTGTCAGCAAGATCACCTCTCCAAGCATCAACGATGACAAGGTGGGAACCTTCCCGCTTCTCCATTCACTCCTAATCATCCCATTGCCTCTGATGGCTCTCGAACAACTGTTGGTCCTTCGCATAGCCATGCTGTGCAGGAGCACAATATTGCAGTGCTCTCCTGCTAGAAAGTAAGCATTTGGGTTGGTGTTGTTGAAATGGCTAGTGCTGACTCCTTTACCACCTTTCCTTTCTCGCATCGACTTCCCCACAGATGCTGGTGACGGTTCCCACTCGCTCAACTGCTGGTGACCTATTCTGACCTAATCAGTCTGGATCAGCGGTGTAGTGGACCCGGCCCGCAGTGGGCCAGCAGCGAATGCGATTGCACAAGACAGACATGGCAGCCTGTAGTTACAAGCTACAAACAATGTTGAACCAATCCCAGCGCAAACACTTATCACTAAGCGCTGAATGCAAACAAAAGAAAAACAGTCGAAACAAGATACAAGGGCAGTCAATGGTACAGCAGGCGGCGATGGGGAGGGGTGGGATGCATGAAAGGGTAAGGCAGAACTAAGAATGAGAGCTAAAGAACAAACAAAGTCAAGTGCCTTAGTGAAGAAGTGAGTGGTTCGCAACAGGGAAAGACCCACAAGATCGCACGCGATGAATTGGTTGAAGATGCAGTGTAATTTTGCAGAGACTGGTGCTGCCTAGTCAGCATGCATAAGTTACAGGTCCCATCATGCCATGGGCCAACTTACCAGTTGGCCAAACCAAAGTGCGGGTGCAAGGACAGGTCCAGAGGATGGGGTAGTGCAAGGTCCCATCCGTTGGAGCAACTTGAATCCTGCCCAGGATCCAGGATTAAGTTAGGACCCGGATAGGTTTTCGTCCCTCGGTGCTGCAACAGCACAGGACATGGGGCCATCTCCAGGCC